TGCGGCCTGTGAGCCCTTGGAGTTGTTAGCGCTAGTGCTAACTAAATGTAAACACCTTTACTTTCCAGCTGCCGCTAATTGGTTTGGGAATATTTATGTAAGTGTTGATTTTCAGGCTAAAAATAGTGCAGTGATGTTTAAATCCAACTCATTCTGGCTGTCAGAAATGCTCCCGTGATCCTGAAAGTGTTGCTAAAAATGTTCACTTTTTCAAAATTGTAGTAATTAAACTTGTCTGTTGTGAGAGCCACATATGATATGTTCCCTGCTCTGATAAAAGATACAGGACAAGCTTCTTCAAGGCCTCTCCTGGGTTGGCCAGACACCACCTCCCGCTGAACTTTACCAGAGAGCAAAGAATTGTAATCTGGGCAAAAGGCGGAGACAAAAGAAAATTTTGAAGTTGCTCTAGATCCTCATATTTGAGGCAGTGGATCGCATCTGGCTATTTTAAGTTAACAGTAAAAATAGAAATTATAATAGTTTTATTAATACAATTAAGCGTAGAGCTTCCCAGACCGTTGACTTTTTTAGAGGCAACTTTGGGGACTTGAAATCGCGTAATGAATATTTCTCAAGTCTAAAGTTGAAGAAATATCGTGTCTGTTCCACATCATTTGTTTGTACCTCTAGCTCTTCATCGTCAGATTATTTTTGCCCCTTTACTTCCCAACTAAAAAGTCAGATTTCACAGATTGTTCTCAAAGTTACTTAAATAAGCTATGAGGGGGGGAAAAATTCATTTTTAGATACGTGTGATTTCGTGACTCTTCACCATGTTATTTAGTGAAGGAAAAGCCTAAGCGCCCCTAAATTATTGCTTGTCAGGTATCTTGTAATTTTTGGAAAAAGTGATTTTATGGACCCTGTCAAGAAAGAAGTTGCTGTTGTTTCTAAGTCTGGAAGCACTGCACTGCTCCCGTGTTGTTGAAGTCAATTTGGAATTGGCTTTGCGTCCTTGCAGGATGCCTTGAGCATCTGTCTGCCTGCCCCGTCTCTAGAGAATAGCAGAGAATTCTGTTGTTGCAATATATAGGAATGATTTTGGCAAGTGACACACACTGCCCATTAGTTGAGATGATAAACTCTAGTCACTGCCCTTTTTGATAACTATGGCGAAGCAAAGACTTTTCAATGCTCCTTTTAAAATAGTGGGACTCTTGTCTCAGAGAAGTCTGTGAACGTGTGTGTTCTTTTTTAAGTCTGTCGTTATTGACATGATTGCTATAAAACCGTAGTCAGTTCAGAATTATCCTTGAGCAGAGATTCACATTGCAATTGGCCCAATATTGCTTTCAAATTCTAATTGACGTTTCCATATACTTAGAGCATTAAGTATGTTGTTGACATAAATAGAACCTTTACTTACCATCTAACTGGAACTAGAAAAAAGTTATTTTAACCTTGTAGAATGTTGATTTGAACCAGAAAGTGTGCTATTTTCTTATCTTAGCAAGGGATCAGCGAGAAAATTCCACTTGGAGTAGGAAGCAAAGGGGCAAAAATAGTTAACACTTTATAATATATATCCCAGTTTTTTCTTTGACATTCTGAGGATATATATCCATGAAGAATTACAGAACCAAAAAGAATATTTAATTCAACTGATAGCCACTGTTAACTGTTCATGGATGCAAAGCCTTTATATTGTTAGGCTGCTAATACTCTCTAAGTTGATGTCCAATTCAAGTGATTCTTACCAAAATCCGGCTGGCTTTTTTTTTTTTTTCTTCTTGCAGAATTTGATGTTCTGATTCTAAAATTTGTTTGAAAATGCAAGGGACTCAGAAGAGACAAAACAAACTTAGAAGAGAACAAATGTGGAGAATTTGCACTTCCTGATTTCAAAACTTAGTACAAAACTAAATACTCAAGACTGGGCAGTACTGGCATAAGAATAAGTATGTAGATCAGTGGAATACAGTTGAGAGTCCAGAAATGAACCCTTACATTTTTGTTCAGTTGAGTTTTGATAAGGGTGTTAAGACAACTCATTGGGGAAAGAATTATCTTTATGACAAATGGTAATACTATGTACAAACACTAACTCAAAATAGTTATATGTCTAAATATAAGAGCTAACCTTATAAAGCATTTAGAAGAATATAGGAGTAAATCTTTGTGACCGTGTATTAGGCAATGTTTCTTTGATACAACACCAGAAAGCACTAACAACAAAAGAAACAAAATAAATTGAGCTTCATTAAAATTAAGAACTTTTGTGCTTCAAAGGGCATGTGGAGAAATTTCAAGAAGTGTCTCCCACAGAAAGGGAGGAAATATTTGCAAATCATGTATCTAAAGAATCTGTATACCGAATATTTAAGGAACTCTTACAATTCAATAATAAAAAAAATAATTAGATATTTCTTCAAAGAAGATCTGCAAGTGTCCAGTAATCACATGAGAAGATATTCAGCATCATTAGTCATTAGAGAAATTCAAATCCTTAGTCATTGGGGATATGCAAAAAGAAAACTACTTCACACACACCATGATGGCTAAAATTTAAAAAAAGGAAAATTAAAAGTGCAATAAGGCGAGGATTCAGAGAAATTCATACCTTCATATATTGCTGATGGGAATGTAAAATCGTGCAACACTATGGAAATACTATAGCAGTTCCTCAAAATGTTACACAGAGTTCCCATATGGCCCAGCACCCCTATGTAGATCTCAAAGAGAAATGAAGACATAAATGCCCACAAGAACTTGTCCTTCTTAGCAGCATTTATCTCACAATTGAACATTATTTCAAATGTTTGTAGCAACATTATTTATAATCAGAAAAAGTGGAAAAAACCCAAGTGCCTGTCAAGTGATGAATAGGTAAACAAAATGTGGTCTATCCATACGAGGGAATATTATTTAGCCCTAAAATGCATGAACTACTGATATATACTACAACATGAATGAGCCTACAACATGAATGAGCCTTGAGAACCTCGTACTCAGTGATAACAGCCATGTATCTTGTGATTCCGTTTGTATAAAATGTTCATGATAGGTAAATTCTTAGAGACAAAAAGTAAATTAATGATTGCCAGCAGGGGTGTGGGGGTGGGCAGGCAGAATAGGAGTGATGGCTAATGGGTGTGGGGGTCTCTTTTTGAGATTTTGAAATTGTTCTAAAATTAGTGCTGATGATTGCAAAATTCTGTAGATCAACTAAAATAGACTGAATTGTACTTTTTAAAAGGGCAAATTTAATGTTATGTGAATTATATTGTAATAAAATTTTATAAGAAAAATAAAATAGTGGGTCTTAAAGCCCCAGTCATGCCTCTGATTGAAGTTGCTGCCCTGTTGACATCTTGATATGTTGCCACCTCATGAGAGATTCTACCCCAGAACTCGCCCGTGTAAGCCACTTGTAAATATTTGACTCACAGAAACTCTGAGAGACAATAGGCTTTTTTAATCCATGTAATTTGGGGGTAATTTATTAGACAGCATTAGGAAGCTAATACAATGCCATTCTGCTCGTGCATTCATTAACATCCCCTCAATGAGCTCTGTGTGTTGGGTACTTAATAGAGGACTAGACATGCCCTTACCCTTCCTAGAACTCCCTCTTGTGTAAGAGAGACAGGGAAGAACGTGCAAATGTTCTGACATGGGCACTAGTCATGAGTTCAAGTATTTTGTTAAATTACCTACCTAAGTATTTTTGTAAGCTGCCCAGCCCTGTCTCTTTTCTCTGTAAGCATAGATCAAGTCCTTCATAATAGTAGGGATGTTTAAAAGCTTTCAAAGACATTCATCTTTTAAGATTTGGTGCCTTAAACTAAAACATATTCTTTGACCTTTTAGATCTTCTTCCCTTTCTTTATCCCCTCTGGAAGGGTGAAAACAAACTTTTAGAAAAAGAAATCAAGTGTAGACCAAGTCCCTCACAAAAGCCAGAACCCCTATGTGAAATGTTGCTACTCCGTCTAGAAGTGAAATACATTTTTAAAATCATTTCACACTGACAAACTGCTTGAATTGTGAGTCCAGTGCCTTGTTTTCTTCAAGATATTAATCTAATTCCTTTATGCCCCACCTCTTAACTGATGTATTGTCTTTTTTTGTTGTTGAAATAATGCTTTTAGATCCATGGATGCTCTGTTTACAGGTGTGGTGCTTGACAATGGGTCTTTTTCCATGTGGTTTGTTGACTTGAAACCTGAGTCCACAAGTAACACGGTTTATGACTTTGCTTCTGAAGAGTAGTCTATCTGCAGAATCCCTCTGTTCAAGTGCAGTTCCAAAGCCTACCAGAAATCTGATGCCTTACAAATGAGATTCTAAATCAAGCTTGCTTTATAGAACCCATTCTATGTAACATCCAACTCAACGTGGCCACTGTCTTGGAGTGCTTGCCTCCTCTGGCCCTCTTAGCTCTCTGTAGTGGAAGAGTGCTTACCATTTTAGAAATGAAATGGTTAATTTTAGTTTCCCTCTGCTGAAGATCATTCTCAGAATGAAAGTCTTATGACAGAGTAAGACCTCCAGATTTCTTTTCCCGCCCTAGTCCTGTTACACTTCTGACAGGAGTGACCTTGCCAGGCAACCTTTTTTTTTTTTTTCATGGATTTTGCTTTCTTTATGTTTTTAGTGTCACCAGGGGGTGCAAGCAAGTACAGTACATTAAAGTTAATACATCACCACCTGTCAGTGGCACCTTCCCTTTGGTACCCCCTTTCCTTGCTGATTTAAAACACTCAGTCCCAAAAGCTTATGGTTGAATAGCAGGAAGCTAAATGATGTATTCCAAAGCTCTTAACATATTGCCTTGTGTAAATGGCCCATTTGAGTATTTCAGAAGCCAAACAGGAGAGAAGAGAACATTGAAAGCACTGAAAAGATTAACACCTGTTTCCAGTCTTCAAAGAAATTGGAGCATACTATATATATCGAGAGTAAAACCACTTGCTGTTTCACGTTGAGACATTTTATTCAAATTCTCAGTTTGATATGCATAGCATCCACATGCTTATGGGTTTGTTTGACTACAGGATTCCACACAGAACTTAGAAGATGGAGAAGTTATGAATGGTGTACAGACAGAACCACTGACGTCGCCAAAAACCAAGGATGCATTGAGGTATTCTCTTTATGTGAATAAGACTATTTTAGTTATTACAGGATAATGTTTCTTTAATAGTTTGTAGTTGTTTTTATTTTATAGGGAAGGTCAGGATAGGTAGAAGAATGGAGTGAAACCTGTCCCAGTTCTAAAATTAATTAGTCACTCTTTTATTTTCTTTTATGATAGAAGAACTTCCTGACAACATATATAAATGAGCCTCCAAGTCTTTCAACTCTTCTGCAACCTGGATTTCTTAATTGCTTTTTTTTCTCTTTGAACAACAGTTTAAAGTGAATTTTCAGAGTTCATTGTGGTTGACTGTTCTACTTTGACATTAGCTCTTTGAATATTTCTCTGCATTCTGTTTTAACCATCTTGCAATATTTTACTCAATGTATATAAAATGAATCCAGTCTATCACCTAGGATTTTTCATGGTTTTAATGTAAGTAACTCATTATATGAAGTCATTTGCTCTCATTTTCTGTAATACTTACTTTGTTCTGCACTGATTTCCAGTTCTGCCTTAGCTACTACACAGGTTCCATTCCTAGTTTGGCTGCTTGCTAGTTCTATGAGCTTAGGTAAGTTATTCATCTCTCTTTGCCTTAGTTTCTGGTCTGTACAACAGAAATAGTATTAAACCCTTCTTCAGAGGGTTGGTATGAAGATTAAATGAATTCATGTATGTAAAGCACTTCGAACAGTGCCTGGGCCAGAGTAAGTCATGGGGATGGTTGCTGCCATTGGCTACCACTGTATGGTCCTCGTCGAGATGATGGTGATGTGTGATGATGATGATGATGATGACGACACCACCACCACCACTCTTACCATCATTTTTTCTAAGCTGCTTCAAATTTTGCACTAGAAAAGTAATTCCATGTTTAATAGATTGTTGGCTTCAGCACTCAGAGGTGATGCTTCTAAGGTTGATGGTCATCCATTCGTTTCTTGACTCAACATATTCTTTTCATTCAGTCCAATTACTAACAGTTGCCACACATTTTGCATAGAATTAGCTTTTTAAAAAAATATGTGATCATCCTTTACCACATTGATTTACTGTGTGGACTTCCCTCACACAATTTATAGCCACATGATATAGGTGCTCTATTTAGATTCTATTGCTCTGATGAATGAGATGCACAATATTAAAAATTTGGTCAAGAAAACCTTCTGGGCACTGTCTTTTTAGAAGCTTGATAAGATTATTTTTGGAGGTAGGCATAATGAACATAATACTCTTCTTCTGTTTGCCTTTAATTTCATTTTTTTCAGTGTTAGCTTTTTGAAAAGTTTGCTGGCATCTTGGCTAAATGTTCTGTGGATAGACGTCATTGAGTGAACCATTGTTTGATTTATGGCTACATGAACAAATGAACTAAACTTTCTCCGGATACAAAGAATTGAGAGGAATGGAGTATAGGAATTAAAAAATTTTTAATTAAAATATATGTGTGTACATGTATAATTTTTGCAAGAGTTTTATCATCACATTTAATAGGCTAATAAATTGCAATTCAGAGCAATTAAGTAACTTGTAGAGACCCAATCTGCATCCACTACTCTTGTCTCCAAATCCTTCGACTCCAGTGTTATCTGTTGTGTACACCTTCCTTTATCCTTTGGTATTTTATTTCATGCTAAGGAACTTCATATAGTGAGCACCAGTTTGGAGAAATTCGCTGAAATCAGGTTGAGGCCAAGTTCAGAAAGTAGAGTAAGTTCAGACTCCCAGCACTTGCAGGCTCTTGGGTACAGGGGGGATGAGAAGGATCTTAAGAGCATAGCATGCATAGCCAGCAGCAGGAAGCTTGGCGATTACAATTCCAGGAAAAGAAATGGGTTCTAGCTGGCATGGGGTAATGAAGAAACAAATGAAGAGAAATTAGGAAGCCACTTAGGGCTGAGTTACGTGGTCATCATTCTCCTGGGGCAGGGAAGGCATGCTCTCCCACAGAGCTTGGCCCAAGAATATGACTTTGGGCTCACTTCGATGTAGGTGGCATAGAAGCTCAGCACATTATTTGCAGAGTCCATCTCAAAATATTTTGAAACCTATTCCTGTATTTTAATCCCCATAGTCATTTTTTCAAGCCTTCATTACTTCTCAGACTATTATAGTAACCTACTGTCTCTTCTCTTGAATATCAATCTCTTTATCCTAACTGATCTCATGTATCGCTGCTAGGTAAAAATTTCTTAAACCACAGCGTTCAACAAACCATTCTTTCATTCCAATTGAATTTTGTTAAATCCTGGGTTTGAACACTACCTATGTAACCATAGACTAATTATTTAACCTCTTTAATTTTTTTAATATGGAAAATGGGTATCATGATCACACAGATTATTGTGAAGATTAAATGAGATTTATCACAGGCAGTTGCACTTAGCACAATACTAAATGAATGGTTGGATAAATATTAGTTGCTACTGCAGTTATGATTAGTACACATACCACAGTTTATTGTAACTATCATTCTCCCATATAAGACTATGAATCCTCCAAAGGATTCCTGACATGTCATACAGATATACGAGCAGCATATTTGTTCAGTGAATGGTTAAAACACATTGCTCCATAAATCATAAGCATACCTATTAGCTGCTTACCCAGTATTAACACATTTTTATTTAAAGAAAAATAACCATAAGAGGAGGTTCTCCAAATAGTCTTACAATATGTATCTCTTATGAAGCACTACTCAATTTACCTTGATCTTAAGATGATGAAGCAAAAGGTTTCTATTGGGTGTTTTGTTTTTTTTTTAACTACACTTTAAGCTTCTCTTCTTTCTTCCTTCCTTCCTCCCTCCCTCCCTCCCTCCCTTCCTCTCTCCCCCCTTTCTTTCTTTCTTTCTTGAAGGTGGGGGCAAAGAGGGGTAGAGGGAGAGGGATAATCTTAAGCAGCCTCCACTCCCAGCGTGGAGCCCCATGCGGGGCTTGATCTCACAACCCTGAGATCATGACTTAAGCTGAAATCAAGAGTTGGACGCTTAACTGTCTGAGCCAGCCAGGTGCTCTACAGCTTCTGTTTCAACAGCAAGCAGTACAGGCAAAAGACCTTCACCTCATCCCTAAGTTCAACTTCATTCCTGACCTCAGCCTATTCCTTGACACATCTCCAAATTGGCCTTCTCCATACTTACCTCTTCTCCCATGCTTAAAATGGCCATCAAGTTTTATTCTTTTTTGCCTCTGATAGCCATTCATTTGGCAAACTATTGGGAGAGTCCATGTCAAAAAAAAAATCCCTTAAACCTTTCCCCAGGTATTCATGTTTTATTCCTGTAATTATTGCTAAAGCCCTATTACCTCTCCAATTATTGCAATAATTTACGAATTCCTATCTCAGGGACCAATCTCTATCTTGTCTTACTTTTTTCTAATCAATCCCACATATCACTGCCAGATAAATATTTCTAAACCACAGCATTTATCACCCCACTCCTTAGTGCCAACACCTTTAATGACTCCATTTTCTACAAAACTAAGTGCTTTTTTTCTTCAGCGTGGAATTTGACGTATCACTCTGAGATTTGATCTCAAGCTGATGGTTCAACCTTCTCTTCTCAGTATCTCCCCGTCTTTCCCTTCCTTTCTCCCTGCTCATAGCCTCTTTCTTTAATATCACAGCCAGTCTGTGTGTCCACAAACCATCCTGGTTCAGTGTCTCTCAGTGCAGACTGTGTTCTTTCATCTGCTTGCCCCTCTGTCCCCTCTCCTACTTTTTCTGATTGAAGATCCATTTGCTGTTCTTTTTTTTTTTTAAGATTTTATTTATTTATTTGACAGAGAGACAGAGAGAGGGAACACAAACAGGGGGAGTGGGAGAGGGAGAAGCAGGCTTCCCACTGAGCAGGGAGCCTGATGCCAGGCTCAACCCCAGGACTCTGGGACCATGATCTGAGCCAAAGGCAGACGCTTAATGACTGAGCCACCCAGGCACCCCTCCATTTGCCCTTCTCACTTCCATCTAAAATCCTCCTTCAGGAAGATTTTCCTGATCCCAGCTTTCCTTCCTGATCCTGTACTGATTTCTTCTGAGCCTCATCAGGAAGTGCCTCTACTTTGAAACTCCTATGAAAGTATCTTAAAACTCCTGCTCTAGAATACAGTAAATTCCAATGTGAGTCCTGACCTTACCTTGTAGAAATGGTGTGAGGTTTGGCGATTTATTTCACCTTCCTAAGTATCAGTTTACTTATCCGTAAAATGGGTCTGATATGTTTACTCTATACTTCTGGTAAGAATTCATGGTATAATGCTAGAAGGCCATTAACACACTGCCTCCTAAATAATAGCTTATAATCACTGAAAATATACTGCGATTACTACTACCATCCCATTGCTTTGTATTATTCTCTGTTACCTGTCTTAACTTCCCCTCTAGATTGAGAACTCCTCAGACATTGGCCTCTGTGTTTTCCTTGTAGAACTTCCTCATTGGAACTACTCAATTAATATACATTGAATTCAGGTATATTAAATGAATCCCACCACCATCAATAACAGGTTTTTTGTTAGGTTTTTACTCAGTATATTTGCATCAACAAGACCTCACAATCAAGCATACTTCCATGCCATCAATAAACTCTTCTGGGAGGTCTCTAGTCAGTCCATCTCTCACACTGTTCCATATGACAGACCTGTGCATTAATGCCTGAAGACCCCCAGCTAAAACCTTCTCTCCATTTATTACCCATCAGCTTCTCTACGGCAGCCGTCTAATCATGAAGAAAACATGTTCCTCAACCCTACAGGACTTGAGGATATTTTTAAAAGTCTCACTGAGGAAATCAGTTGAGAAAAAAATGGAAAGTTTGAGATAATTTCCTTTTAATCCATAAACTCTTTCCCTCAAAAAGTTCTAATAATCCTAATAGCTGATAGTTATTGAACCTTTTGTATACACCAGATATTGTATGTATGATGTACATGTTATGTCCTCTAATTGTTTTTAAACCAACAGTTCTATTAGGAATTTATCTTAATTTCCCCATTGTCCAAATAAGGAAACTAATACTTTTGGTCTTCATTTAAATGATTATTCAGATATCTGACTCAAAGGCACCGCTAAGATAACACTGTTTCTCTAATTTCATAAGTTAATCATGATTTTCTTCCGAAACGAGATGTCCTCCACCAACCTGCCCTGAGTCCTCTGTCTCTTACCCTAAATGAGGAGCTTGTGACTGAGTTTAATAATCTCAATGTTAAAAATGCTGTCCATTTGCCTCGTGTGAGGAATTGGACCTGCAGCTGTCTGCAGCTCTTATATTCTGTCCCTCAGGCTTCATGTGTTTCTTTTGGATGGAGCCAAATGAAGCACTTGGCCATGGAGTTCCTGCAGAGTAGCTGTTCATGACAAGCTCACTTTTAACGTTTTATTCTGTACCTTCACCCCGAGTTTTGTCCTAAAATCTTAGATAGGTAGCAGCTGGTCCCAGGAATTATTTGAATCAGTGTTGTCAGTTGGATCTTAGGACATTAGCTTGAGTAGTACTGTTGGACTTAATGTTCTGTGACTGTCCGCTTTGGTTTTCCCGTTGTATAAAGTCAGCTGTTTTGATCTTAGTAACACTTTCAGCTTTTCTTTGTGTAGTTAAAGTATTTTCCCTTTACCCCACATTTCACTTTTTGTCTGTTTTTCACAAGTAGCTGCCGATCCCTTTTTCTTTCCACTGCTAGAATATCCTCTCCACCCGCTTCTCTAAATTTTCCATTCTCAGTCTGCCTCCAAAACATAAATTAATGTGTGCATAGCCTGCTCACTGGTCGCTGAAACTTACTCTGCACTTGGACTAAACAAATGGCATTCATAGTGTATTTCCACATCTTAGTAAAATCTCACTTTGTAAGTATTCAAATAATTGTGTCCAACACTACTTGTTGTGTTTATCTTTCATGAAGGATGTGTATATATATATATACAGAGATTTCTACAGAATTCCATCAGGTATATGGAATGTAAAAGTTCTCCCCCCCCTTTTAAAATAAGTAAAAATATACAGTCTATGAGGTTTCCTTTTTCAAAAGCTTTTCTTTCCGTCTTGAAATAATGAATAACATTTTATAAAGAACATGGTAAAACATAGCCTGTATAAAACTTGTAATATTTGGGGGCGCCTGGGTGGCTCAGTCGTTAAGCGTCTGCCTTCGGCTCAGGTCATGATCCCACAGTCCTGGGATCGAGCCCCGCATCGAGCTCCCTGCTCCGTGGGAGGTCTGCTTCTCCCTCTCCCACTCCCCCTGCTTGTGTTCCCTCTCTCACTGTGTCTCTCTGTCAAATAAATAAATAAAATCTTTATAAAGAAAAATTTTGTAGTGTTTGTCTATATTAAATAGATTTATTTCTCTATAACTGCCTACATATTATAATCTACAAAATCAAAAATCTTTTACACTTTTTTTCTGGGATAATATTTTTATGATAGTAATTTAGCATTTGTCACGTCTTTCTAGCCAAAGAATTGTGACTGCCATGTATATAGATAGCATAAGAGTTTATTCTTTTTTTAAATTTTATTATGTTATATGTTAGTCACCATACATTACAGCATTAGTTTTTCATGTAGTGTTCCATGATTCATTGTTTGCGTATAACACCCAGTGCTCCATTCAATATGTGCCCTCCTTAATACCCATCACCGGGCTAACCCATCCTCTAAAACCCTCACTTTGTTTCTCAGAGTCCATAGTCTCTCATGGTTCGTCTCCCCCTCTGATTCCCCCCCTTCATTTTTCCCTTTCTACTATCTTCTTCTTCTTCTTCTTTTTTCTTTTTTTTTTTTTTTTTCCATATAATGTATTATTTGTTTCAGAGGTACAGGTCTGTGATTCATCAGTCTTACACAATTCACAGCGCTCACCATAGCACATACCCTCCCCAATGTCCATCACCCAGCCACCCCATCCCTCCCACCCCCCACCACTCTAGCCTCAGTTTGTTTCCTGATATTAAGAATTCCTCATATCAGTGAGATCATATGATACTTGTCTTTCTCTGACTGACTTATTCATAGTTTATTCCGAGGTCTTGAAAAAGAGAATCTTATAAAGTATAAATGAACCTTTAAACTGCATCCCCAAGAAAGGTCGTAGTGTTTTGAAACAAGATTGATTGCTTTAACAAATTATGAGATTTACTTCATTAAGTGAGTGTAAAAATAAAAGATTGATAGTTCCTAAAGAGTATGTATCTGTATAATACATAGAATTTATTATGTTTTACAGGAAAGGTTTTGAGTTGGGTAAAGAAATATTTGCAAAATAGACAAAAAAAAAATTCCATAAAACCATCCTAAAAATTCTTAAGCTGAAATCTTGAACTCTATACTAAACACTTATCTTCCAAAATCCTCTGTATAATACATATGAGTGCTATCTATCAGCATGTGGATATTTAATACATTTATTAGGAAAGATTTGTGTTATGCTCTAAGTGTAAAACTATAAAAATACATTGTAAAGGTAGAGATAACAAAGTTTTAATGATTAAACAAGATTTTCATCTTTGTTTTTAAAAGTCTTTAAAACAGTACCATAACCCTAGAATGTAATGCTCTGGGTTTAGTCTTTCTCAAATAGCTACGAATGCACTATAAATCTGTTATTATATAAAAATTATTGCTTTGTGGTCCATTAAGAGCTATAAAACTTTCTCCACCCATCAGACAGTTTATATTCAGGATGTATAATGCATAACTATATATAGTATTTCATGTATATATATTCATATAATATCTGTATTCTCACACAGAAAGTGTCAAGAAGAATGTATTTTATCCCATGATATTATCACTCTAAGATCTGTTTTATTTCTGACTTTTACCCCAGGCCTCTGATATAACCTGCTTGACTGAACAAGTTTTAAATATATCAGCAATATCTGAGCAAAACTCATTTGAAATTTATTATCAGATTTGAAATTCCATCATAGTTTACAATGTTAGAAACTGACATGCTCTTTTTTACAGTTCTTAATGATAATAAGTTTGCAATGAAAACACATTAAAAATAAGCCCAGTCCACTGATGAGAATATATTTGATGTATTTATTTTAGATTGCTGATAATTCAGAGAGTACTACACGCAGAGTGAATTCATCAGGCATTTTGCTTTCTTATGCCGTTCTCAACTTTCTAGCAAGGAGCCAAAATTTCACTGTTTTCAATTTGGAACAGAAAAGCATTTGTAGCAGCTGTAGTTCTTAATTTGACATCTAGTTTCAGGTCATTTTCATGTAAATAGGAAACAATAGAGACCTGCTTACAATTTCCATAACAGGGATGTTTGCTTCAACTTTATCATTTTCTTCTGGCAATTTTATTTTCTCTCTGTGGGATTAAAGGAGCCAGTAATTGTTCATGGTAATTATTTTTCATCTTTATAAAAACTTGTTAGTTCCACTCTTTATTACTCAAAGTTTCCCAATATCTTGTATATTTCAGTCATACACACTATCCATTAATGTTTCTAGCTCATCCTTTCCTTAATCTGGAGTAGGTTAGGCGGGTCAGGCTTTCTATTTCTTTCTGTAATACATTTTCTCCAGGCTTTACAACTTCTTTTTCTACCTCTAAAAAAAAGAGGAGGTGAAAATTTAGAATTGTTCCATTGTATACAACCGATGCCTTATTGAAAGGCAAGTCTGAGTTCTGATTTATAATGCTCCGAACATGCCCATATGTATTACCGACTGAGGCTTCACTGTTGTAAAATGTAATTCTGTGCTTTTTCTAACAAATACATATTTTATTTCAATTTTCCTGTTCTGAGCTGGGGGAAGCCTACTTTATGCTTAAGCATAGTTAAGCTTAGTTCCATGTATTTTATCATCTGCACAGTGTGTCTCAATGGGGAGAAATTTCATTTTTGTATATATCCTTTTAAATATGTTGATTTATGCAGATTAAGTTAAGTAGGAAGTTATTTTTGTGGGTTGTTATTTCCATTTGTTTCCCTTCTAGGAAAAAAAAAATAAGAAATCAGTCTTTTAAACATTTTATTTCCTGGATCTTGTGAACATACCAGCAAATCATGTACTCATTTGATTTCATCTGTGCTGTTGAATTTACAGTAGTTGATATAATCTTAGGGTTTTGTTTTTTGTTTTTGTTTTTTTTTAAGCAGAGACTTATCTGTGCTCTTACTTTTTTCTGCCCCAGTGATATGACAAGAACAGTGGAGATTTCTGGGGAAGGAGGCCCCTTGGGAATACATGTAGTGCCCTTCTTTTCATCTCTGAGTGGAAGGTAAGATGTCTTCTTTATATCAGACGCTCATGCTAATGAAAAACTTGACTTCAGCTCATTTTCCCAAACATATTTCAGGAGAGAATTAAATGTGTATCTCTGTTATTCAGACAGACACCTCAGTATATACTTCTGTTGGCCACTTAAGTGTTAGAAACAAAGTCATTTAGTGGAAAAGCAAAAGTATCAATCACAATTTCTGCATTTATAATTAATTATGAAGTATTGTCATTTTTTAAAAAAAGATTTGAGAGAGAGAGAACAAGCAGGGGAGGGAAAGTAGGAGAAGGAGCAGGAGGAAACAGATTCCCCATTGAGTGGCAAGCCAGACATGGGGCTCGATCTCACGACCCTGAGATCATGAGCTGAGCCGAAATCAAGAATTGGATACTTAACTGACTGAGCCACCCAGGCGCCCCTGAAGTATTTTCTTCAAGTGTTCTTGTCAGTGACATGTAGTAAACAGAATCCTTGAGAAGGATTTTAACATACTGTTAGACAAATATTACAACAGAATTTTTTAATGTTCCAAAATACACTTCAAAAAGTGAATATAGTAATCCCAACTGATATTTCCTGACTCTGCTCAGGTATATGGAACTTAGGATAATAAATATTCTAGCACTGTAAGTAGCTTTATCAGAAGCTATATGTTTTCATGATTTTAACTATAATAGTAAAATACCATTGTGCTTTTTTTTCCAAAATAAAAGATAATCAATTAAAAACAGTATACCACCTCCTTTTAAAATTTTAAAGATATTTTATTGCTAAATCCACAGTGACAAATGGTAATTTAGATGTCAGCATTTCTTGAAATTCATGTCCACCTAACTGGATATATAAGTTGTTTTACTGTTGGAAATTAAAGTTTGTGCCTGAGAGTTAACATTAGTACTATTATAACAAGTTTACAAAACTTGTATTAGATATTGTGTCACTGTTCAATAAGATGACTGCCTTCAGCACTAGATTGATACTGACAAGCGCTATCTTAAAAGGGCTTTTCTTAAAATCAGTTTCTCACTCATGATATGATTTTAATTAATTTGCTAACTTTATTTTTCTTATATTAAGTGCATCACTGAAAATTTCAGGCAGAATACCTTATTTTAGCTTAAGAGATCAAAGTCCAGAAAAGCCCATTGATTTTTTTTTTTCAAGGTCACACAAAATCCAGATCCAATCCCCCTTACTCCATTGCTCTTTCTAGAGCAAAAATCTCCCAAAGGTTATATAGTATTAATTTACTGGTTCAGAATATTTATTCAATTCAGTCTGCCACGTAGCAGGAAGAGCAGATTTAGTCATGATATTTTGGTTGGCATCATTTTCAGCAGGTAGCCATCTGCTACCTGTAATTGCAAAGTCATCACCTTTTTTTTACAGATAACATCTGATGCCAAGCTCTTGCTGGAATGAATGTTCTCTAAAAAGAAATGAACTGAAAAGCCAGTGGCTCTTATTGTTTCATTTCCTGTATGTGTTAATAAGCGTGTTTATAAATGTTATGGGTTATGGCCCAGGACAAGCTGAGGTTGTTTTTGATAGACAGGAAGAGTATTTACCCAGTTGTCATGAGAAATTCTAATGGCTTTTGGCAGAAGTGTACTGATAGAGCTTTGTGAAATACCAGAGTGGTTAAATTACCAGGCCCTTTAGTTTAATGAAGCCGGAATAGAACACAAGATCATCCCAATTTCCAAAACATGAAGAAATGTACAATGTGACAGTCGCCATACTTCATTTTCAATAGTTTGGAAAACAAGCTGACCCTGTAGACCAGAAAGCACCTTCTCTTACATCAAATGAGAGAAACACACTAAAATGTATTGATTTCTTCCCTTCTCCTTCCTGGTTCTGATTTCTAGCATAAGCCTTGAAGAATAGAAAAAACGTTAGACTTGGATTCAGAACAATTGGATTTGAATCTCAGTGTTCTCTTTTATAACGTTGAGCAAGTCCCCTAAACTTGCGTCTTGTGAATACCTACTTCACATCAAGTTTGTAGGGATTAAATGACATTAAAAATGTGAAAACTCCTTGTAAAGCACACAACGTATGAATGTGTAAATTTTCAGTATTACTAATATTATGGCTAAAACAAAAAAGCCTGGTTCAGAAATGAATTTTTATAAGTTCATGGTCAGCTGTTCAGTAACGTGATGAAATAGTTGTATATATTTTTTTGCTATCCATTAGTATTATAGAAAGGAAATTTAATTAAAAAACATAAAAATAATATGGAGTGGAGACATAAGCCAATAAAAGTTAAGAAGTAATGAGTACAGGCTGAAACAGCACACTTAACTCAACCCATGTGTTTAGATGCAACTGAGTAGAGAGCGTGTCAGACAAGTGTCTGACTTCATAACGCCATGTGGTTTCAGTGTGTGAGCACGGGGGCTTGGGGGGGGTGAGTTAAGGTCATAGTGGTATACTTAGTTCTTAATTTCCTTCCATTTATTGGTTTGTGTCATTATTTTAAATTAGAATTTACATTTAATTCTTTACTAAGACTACTGTAATTGACTCTGCCTCCAATTTATATATATATATGTATTTTTTTTTTTTTAGAAAAATACTGCCACACCTGTTGTTGAATAGGAAATGTAATCTCAGTTAGAACACCCTGACTACAATATAGTGGCTGCTGTACTAGTTAAGGCTTCAGTGGATTCATTAGGTACGACAGCATAGGGTGTTAAATGCCACTTGTATGGAGACCCCTTGGCTTGTACAGTAAGAAACAAAACAAATATACAAAAAACTGAGTTCCTGCAAGTAAAAAGCAATTTTATTTCATTGACTTTAAAAAAAAAATTAAGGTACTTTTGTTTTAGAATTAAAAGCATGAAATCTAACTGTTTTTCAATAAAGATAGCATAATATACCTTAGTTTCCTAGTAAAGACAGCTAAATATGACAGAGAAGAAGGAACAGATGGGTGAGGAATGACACGTAATGCAAGGAGGGGCGATGTTTAGATACAAATGCAAAGCTGGTAGAATGGCCAAGGCCTGTGATGGGAGAGCAGAAGGGGGCAAGGAGTGGATGGGTTAGTGTCTACATGATTATTAGAAGAAAAAGAAGCAATTCTGTGGGGCAGTGGGTTTCAGCCTCCCTTATCACTGCTCATTAATGTGAATTAACTGGTTCCTCTGAGCCTGTAATTCCTCAACAGCATTAATCTTTAACTCCTAGGGCCTTGGTCCCAGACGAGACCACTACCACAGCCCACCAGTTTGGGGCAGAGAGGAAAATGAGAGATTCTTTTCTGAGCCTTCTCATACTGGTCTGGATGAAATCAAACTGGAGAGAATCCATCCCTCTTTATGGAATAGAGAAGGCAGGAGTGGTTTGTTGCCAGGGACCAAACTAATAAAATCAGTCAGTTTTACATTTTACCAAAATTACCTCTGACACACGGGTTTTACAGTTGAGCTTATTCTGTCAATAAATTTTTCATGGAAAGTTAGGTTATTTAGATCAGTGAGGTTCACATAGCATACTCCAGCTGTAATATGCCAGCTAAATTGTAACCCAGTGGCCTGAAAGAATTAATTCATCTCCCAAAATGTGAAATTAAATCCTAGGGAGTAACATTACATGACTGATGATGTACTGAATTAAATTAAAGGAAGACTTGAATGCTTGTTAAAAAAATATCGCTTACATAAACTAGTTTATAACCACATGTGAGCCTCCTAATGGATCATATTATTGTGAATCCACCGTAACAAAAAAACCCAAAATGTGAACTATTAGAGAGTTGTTTAATTTAGGAAAGAAACACTATTTTGTTCTATTTCTTCTTTCTCCTCTTCTTCTTCTTCTTTTGCATGTCCAATAGCTCAATTTTTAGTATTACGTTATGAGATTAAGGTAGGAATAGTATTTCAAAAATATTAATTTGAATCTCAGATCCTTTATCAAATAGTAGCTTTGGCCCCTTTTCTCTTCCAAGCAGAATATGATCAATTTACTAACCTCTTATAGGCAAGGCAGCCGAACACTGCCCCACATGCTCGTGCCTCTGACCCTGAGCCTTCCCTACCACAGGGGGCGTGACTCACTCTCTCCCGCATCAGCACACTGTATTCATCGGAGCAGAGACCTGAAGACCACCGCAGGTGCCCCTCCTCTTGCCATCTTCAGATGACAGGGGCTCATTAAATGAACAGGGGCCCTGGAGACAGAGGCCCTACTGTGTGGCTTCTCCAAACAGGAAGACGGTTTTCTCCTCACTTTCGTTAGAGACGGCCCTCTCTCCGTGGCTGACCCTGTAATCCACCTGTAAAATGCTCTCATATTTTATTGGGATCGGAGATTTAATACGAAGGGACTGTGTGATAGTGTAGGAGGCCCGTATGCAAAAAAGAATGACAAAGCAGAAAAACAAGAGGCTGAGGGGCAGGGGGTGGCTGTATCTCCCACGCCCAGCAGGTTCCTCTTGGAGGACATATCTGTCTGTCTTATTCTGGGGGCACAGCTAGGACCCCTGACAAGCCACAAGAAGAAGGGAAATCTCTCATATGAGAAATAGCTAAAATATGTACAAGTTTGGGAGTGCCTGGGTGGCTCAGTGAGTTAAGCGTCTGCCTTCGGCTCAGGTCATGATCCCAGGGTCCTGGGATCAAACCCCACGTTGGGCTCCCTGCTC